CAGTTCCATCGCAAGAATTGAAACACTCCCCATGGTGAGAAGGGAATGACTGGTGCGGATGGCTTTCTGGCATTTGAAGAGAGACACAGATTGGTGGACTTCCCATCCACTCGCCATTAGCACCGCAAATCTTCAAGCTGTAGTTGTTGTGTTCGTGTCCACCAGGGGGTTACGAAGTTCTGTTTGGTTCTAGTAGGCTGGTTGGCATCAAGTACCTGAGACGATAGCACCAATCTTGTTGAACAGCAGATGGTGAGAGGTTGAACACTGGAGAGCAAGGTTCAGAGCAGACTTGGTGCCGTTAAAAATAAATATAAATCGCTGAAAGGGCTCTCCCCATGAAGAGTCACAGGAAAAGAAAAAAAAAAAAAATTGTTGCAGTTTTGGCAACGTTCACAGGAATGTTTAAAACTTCTTAACTGTTCTTTCCATCTCCTGCAATAAGAAAAACAAAGCCAATAACATTAAGGGAAGAGAATTAGTGGTTAGTAAGTATCTTGTGCCAATTGTTAAATATCTTAGTGCTGGTTCACACCTGGGCGTTCTTAGTTCACAGAACTAAAAAATGTGCTAAAAACGAGCTGAAAAAACGCGCAAAAAACGCACCTATAGCAACGCCCAGGTGTGAACCCAGCCTAAAGGTGCCCATACACTACTTGATTCTCGTACGAGAATCGCGAGAATCGAGCAGTGTGAACGAAGACGGGTGACCGTTTTTACTGTACGGTCGCACGTCTTGTCGAACCAGCATGTTCGAAAACCCGCAGAGAATAGTACGATTGTCGGCGGGTTTCTAGCCTGTTTGTTCGATAGCTGTGGAACGGCCCGGTGTGCGCACGCGCACACTGCCCGTTCTGCATTGCGGTCATCGGTGATCGCAAGATCGTACGAGCTTTCAATAAGCATACGACCATCGCAAGACAAAAGTCTTGCGATGGTCGTAAGGTGTATGGGCACCTTTACAGTTGTATGATTTAAGATAAAACAAAAAGAAACATGCGTTATGCACAGACAAAGGTGACTGCAGTAGGATTCATATCAGTCAGGACTTTTTTTTTTGACACCTCAAAAGTGTAAAATGAACAGACCTTAGCGCAGTAATCTCAATCAACATTGGGCAGTTACGTAACAAATGAATGCCTGCAAGGTTGGGTTTGACACCAGGATGTAGTCCCTTGCATGATGTGCCAGCTGAATTAAGGCTGAAGGAGGTCCACAGAATACATATCCAAGCGATATGAATAATCATCACAGCACCTAAATGGAGAGTTCACCCACATGCGTTTCTTTCTGGGATTCCAGTGGCAATCTCTCCATAGAGGGTAACCAAGACAAGAATTGCCATCAACAATAAATAAAGAGTGTCAGCACAGCCCTAGCCATGTTGAGGCAGTGAAGGGAAATTTCCTTTGGGTGTTTAGCAGGACCTAAGGAAGTCCTAGTTAAGGTGGAAGGCCGAAACCATCTTAGGTTGGAAAAAGGCCTTAGCATCACGTTATTCTTGTGGATAGCCAGAAAATGTTCCTTGCGTCTCAAAGAAGTCATGGCAACGAGGAAGGCCACCTTCGGAGTAAGGGCAGAGGGATATCCCCGAGTGCTTCTTAAAAGCATACACCAAATTAAGGTCCCACGACATCACTGGAATCTGTACAGTGGGGAGAATCCTCTGCACAAAAGTCTTCACCAGATAGTAGTAGTCAAGCAGACTCTGTAAAAGGCTTGCCAAGTCAGAGATCTGACCCTGGAGTACCCATGCCAAACGCTGGTCTAGGCCAGACTGGAGAAAAGACAGAATGCATCCAACTCAGCACTTACTAGCCCTGGACAAGGTGAAATAAGCCTTCCAGTTACAATGGTAAACCTTGTGAGTAAGCTGACTTGCTAGTCTTACGTAGGAATGAGATCTGAAGGATCCTGTCTTTCAGGAACTGGGCTTCAACAGCCATGCAGTTACATCCACTGACCGAGAAACATGGTAGAACACTGGTCCCTGAAGCAAGAGGTCTGGAGGATCTAGGAGTACCAGGAGTTTTACCACATCCACCATGGTCTTCTGGGCTAACTGGAGGTGATGCAGGTCACCAGGATGCCCTCTGTCTTGATCCAGTGAAGGAGGTGAGGCAAATGCTTCAAGGGAGGGGAAGGCATAGATCACAGGGAAGTGAACCCACAGTGTCACCAAGGCATCCAAAACCTATGCAGTGAAGAAATCAACACGTGTCTGAGGAGACTTGGGCAGAGAGGAATGCAAGAAGCGAGCGGGATGCACGGAGCGCAACCCCAGTTTCTAGTCCTTGGCCACAATGATTTGATGTAAGCATTCTGTATGTCATGGACCCAATGAGTTGAGAAGGCTGAGAGATATACCACCACTTGTAAAAGCAGGGGTGCCCCTCACTGCAAGGGGGCTTGTTCCCAGACTTGGGGGGGGTTTGGAAGACCAGGCCTTGCATCTGACCTGTTAGCCCTGCTTGGGTTTGGAGCCTGAGGTCTGGAAAGAACAGAAAGAGCTTTTTCTAAATGAAGTGGAGGCTTTTGCTATTAGGAGGTTTAGACTACTTCTGGTGAAGGAAGGTACTCTTGCTCCCAGTGACCTTCTTAACTGCAGGTGTCCAAGGATTCACCAAAGAGGTGTTCACCAGTAAAGGGCATCAGCATTTGCCGCTTCTTGAAGGGGAGCTCCATGGACCAGCATTTAAATCAAATAATTCCCCGCATGTGGATGGACAGGAGGCTTATCCTGGAGATTTGGCAAAGCGTGTTTGCCAGACAGTCTGCTCAGAAAAGCAAGACTGAAGGAACATGTTCCAAATGATGGAGAACTTCAGGATCTGTCAAAATGGAACCCTGGATTCTAGCCATAGCCCAAACCAATAAGGTTTGACTAAATGCCATTGTTGCAACAGTAGGCTGCATAGCAGGGCCTGCCAGGGCAAATGGAGCCTTAAAGAGGGCCTTTCAACCTCCATTGGTGGGGTCCTTAAAAACAGGAAATAGTTTGGTCCACCAGTACCAAAAATCTAAGTCAGGCTGGGAGGGGGTTAGGCAGGGGTATAATTTCTGCAGCTTTGATTGATTTGCCAGTGCCCAATCACCTGAAAGTAGCTGCAAAACCCAGTGGTATAACACTAATGCACTGTGTCCTGTGATGTATTATCAAGAAAGGCTGTTTTTAGTCTCTAAAAGCCAAGTTGGGGAGCAGGATCTTCCCATGTGATTATGGACCCCAATAATCAACAGGCCAGAAGTAGAGCCAAACCCATTTCAGTATAAAAAGAAAAACCCATTTGGGTCCGGGCCACTTTAAGATCAAGCCGCAAATGCCACTTACCTCCACTAGAGCAGTTTTGTCGTAGTCCATCCTGTGGATGTAGATACATTGGCTGAGAACAGAGTACCACCTCTCCAATCCATCCACCGTCAGATTGGTGCTTTTCTTTACCACAGTATTAAGCAGTTTCTAAAAAGGTAAAGGATATAAATCAGACCAATGTAGACAATACAACCACCAGACACCTGCCAGACCAGACAGAAGAAAGCCGGCAGTACTCTTACCTTTAGTTTTTTGTGGTCAACAACCAAAGGTGGCTCTGGGACAAGGTTCTCATCCAAATAATGGTCCTTGTGTATTTTGCTGCCTGGATCACCTATGCCAGAACAAACAAGGTGCATGTTAAGCAGATATTAAAGGGGCTTGTAGGAAAAATAAAGAGAACATTGTGAGCAAACTGGTACAGCTTAAAGGAGAACTATGAGGTGAGTGATTTTCACTCAGCCTCATAATCTGAGCCGACCTGTGACAATGAGACTGTCACACGTCGGCTCAATAGATCGGGAAGTGAGCAAACACATACCGTCCCTCGCTCACTTCTCGATCTCCCTGCAAAGAGCCGTGACTGTCACTTACGGCTCCCTGCAGGGATTCCCCTCCCCTGTCCGATCCTCTGGTGGAACGGATGGGGCGGGTACAGCTGGCTCTGCCTCTAGATAGGCAGAGCCAGCTGCCAGTCACGCAGCTGGGTGGATCCAGACAGAATTGTCGGGATCCGCTCCGGCTGCCGAGTCTCAGTATACCGCGAGCTGTAGCTCGTGATATACTGAGCTTAGGGTGACGGGAGGTCGCCAGTTTGTGTCCTGCCGTTACCCTTAGGAGAACTATGGGGAAAAGCCCTAAAAACTATTTTTTGTGTGTTCCATGTAGGACATTTCCCTCAGCTTCCTGTCTCAGAGACACAGTAGGAAACCCCTACAAAGTGAGGGGCTATCCCCTCTTAGATGCCCCAGAACAGGTGACCCCAATGGAAGATTTCCCCAGTTTGTGTCTGAGACAATGGTTGATGGGACCAATAGAGGGTGAATCTCCCCTGTGGGGACCTAGAAAAGCTTGACAAGGGTTCAAACTCTTCCACATTCTATCCAGAACCAACATAAAGGCTTCACCTACAGTTTAATATTGCCAGAGATGCTTATTAACCCCTTCATGACTGAGCTTTTTTCCAGTTTCTGTTCATTAATGATGAATGCACTTCTACGGCAGTATTATACTTTCTTACTAAGTGCACCCACACAGATTATATATTGTTTTTTAGAGGACAGATAGGGCTGTATAATTATATCTCACATGTGTGGCCAACGCCTCACTTAGGAGGAATAAAATATGAAAAAAACAAAACGTAAAAAAGACAAAAACACACTTTCCCCCAGTTTGAGTATTTTTTATGAGAAAAAAATCACGGCTAAAAAAAAAAAATGCATTTGTCCTTTATTTGGAAACATCGCGCATCTCTAGGACTTCAGAACATTTTCTGTACTTTTCAGCCAAAAACTGAAAGCTAACATTTTATCTTTTTTTTCTCTCTAAAAGTTAATATTGGTTACCTGGTATACAATGTATCCGTCACACTTGGTGACAGCGACATACTTTGAACATCTTCATGAGGGGGTTAAATAAATGTTAAAAAATTAACCCCTTAGGGTGAAGATTTTTCAGCTGCAGATTTTCATTGTATGGGGTTAATTTTTATAATGATAGCAACATTGGCTGCTTGATAATTAAAACACATTTTTGGTTATTATTAGGCTGCTCCAAACTTAAGAACAGCCAATAATAACCTTAGTGACACTGATGCTCACATGCTGATCCTGCAGCATGTCAGTGCCACTAAAACGTCTTCTGATCGTTGCCAGAATGAACAGAAGCCTGAAACTTTGTTTCAGCATAGAAAGATGTTGCTAAATGCTTTCTAAGCTGGAACATTCAGCAAAAAGCTGGTACACAACAGGATTTCCTAATTGCGATGTGTACTGCATTTGCCATCACTGTTAAGCAACCGTACACACCGCACTATCACTGTCAGGACACCGGATTCCTAAAAGGGATTGGGTGTCCAACAGCAGAATTATTTCATTAATGGATGCCCAACACTGAGGCATCCATTAATGAATGGTAACCGCTGATCTCTGATAGGACTTTATATCACATATGATCTCAGCGGTTATCGGTATTCCACAGGTTCAAATAGTTGCTGACGTACAGTGTACCAGAGCAGTCATTTGGGCACTTAGTGACGGGTATGTACAGTGTACCAGAGCAGTCATTTGGGCATTTAGTGACGGGTATGTACAGTGTACCAGAGCAGTCATTTGGGCACTTAGTGACGGGCATGTACAGTGTACCAGAGCAGTTATTTGGGCACATAGTGACGGGGATGTACAGTGTACCCGAGCAGTCATTGGGCACATAGGGATGGGGACATACAGTGTACCAGAGTAGTCATTGGGAACATAGTGACGGGGGCGTACAGTGTACCTGAGTAGTCATTGGGCACATAGTGACGGGGATGTACAGTGTACCTGAGCAGTCATTGGGCACTTACCGTGTTTCCCCGAAAATAAGACAGTGTCTTATTTTTTTTTTTGCACGAAATAAGACACAAGTTCTTATTTTCGGGGGATGTCTTACCTGGCTGCTGCTGTGCTCTGCCGTCCAGGGAGCCACAAAAATTTTCAGGTCTATACCCACAGAGCCGCCTCTATTTCCCCTCTATATAAGCCATGTGCTATAAATCTAAATTCTTCTCACATGGCAGCAGTCATTATGGAGAGCCTGACATCGAGCTCCTGATATTTGATATTTTAAGATGATGTTTGACTAAGGATCCAGAAGTGGTTGCTGCTTTGATTATCCAGCTGCTCAACATTTACAACCAGATGGATTCTTTGGGCATAACCTTTCCGCACAGAACCAGACTCCCTCTGTCTTCAGGAGGCTCCGAGCTGCAATTTCCGAGGAGACCATATTCTGAAGCTTTACTGAAAGGGGGACGCAAAGCTCGAATCATTTGCCAGACAAGACACTGGCATTGCGCGGGATAGTTACAATGCATTTACGTCCTGCTTCGCAGACTGGTGCAAGCTTAGTGGGCCAGTGAACATTACACAATTTTCTAAAACTGATTTAATATAGACCCAAATTTCGGCCGCCGAAAATGACACTTTTGGCAAGGTGCCGAAAGTGCCATCTTTCGGCCGAAATTGTGGTGCATGTCTGGTTTCTCTCCTCTTTGCTGTGCGATGCTCTGTGTCTCCTCCGACACAGCGCAGCACCCAATGGGGAGGAGAGAAACTGTCAGAGGAGGCAGAGCGGCACGGGGGGAAGGAGAGCGCTTTGAGCTGCAATGTCACAGGAGGCCGAGCTCTCCTCCCGCACCGCCCCCATCAACTTCCTCTGATCGATCAGGATAGAGAGTGGTGTGGGGGCGGAGACCGCCGTGCGCTGTCACAGGAGCCCGATCTGGCGGTGAGGGGGGGAGTCAGCTGTTAAAATAGACCGAGCTCTCCTCCCCGCAACGACGACTCACCCTCCTGTGACAGCCGATCTAGGGTGGACAGGGGTATATCAATATTCAGCGATCGCTGACTACTTGTAAATAACTGGACATAGTATGAGTTACTATGTCCACAATCATGAATGAAGAGGAAGTGATCTATATCACTTCCTCTTCATTCATGATTGTGGACATAGTAACTCATAGTAACTATATCCTCAAGTTATGAATGAACAGGAACACTCATTATAGAGAATTCCTGTGTATGTATAACAGGGGCTGCAGAAAAAGAGATTGTGTCCTCAATCTCTTATTTTAAAAAGGGAAATATCAGGGCTCTGTTTAGACCACTAACATTTCTTTGAAGCCCCCAACATTAAAGTTAAAAAATTAAAATATTTAATAAAAAAAAAAAAAAAAGAAAATGTTGATAAAAATAAAAAAATTTTAAGAAATTAAAAAGGTTAGAAAAAAA